TACGAGTTTCCACAATCCTCTTCTGTTTTGAGTGGTTCTACTCCCCTTCTTCTCCATTTTACCCGAAATTATAATCCTATCTTACTTTTCTCGAGAAATGCTTGTTGAACGAAGGGAGAGGTCACTCAGTAAGAATAGAACATTCGAATTTGGTAGAACTTCTATTGAAATTTCGCAAAAATTTCCCAGAAAAAAACCTATCGATCCCCAAAAAAGTCTAATCGATCTTCTAAAATCTTATATCTATAGAGGAGCGGCAGTTACACAACAACAGAACGTCTTACCAATGAAGAGTCACCGACCGAGGAGTCTGACAGGAGAGAGCACGATGATGAAAAGAGTGGCGACAGCGAGAAGCACAAGGACATCACTCGCTCCGGTAAAGGAGGAACACAGAGAATCATGTCAGTTTTTTAGTCGCAACAACTTACACACTCGGCAAGTGCGGTAGGGCAACATTTAGAAGTGGTGCTCCAGGGGTACAAGATAGTGAACCTGAAGTTCACTTACATAAAGGACTGCCTCGGATTGTGGCTCATATATTAACTTCGTTTATTTTGTTTTTTTAGTAAAGTCCAGGAAATGGGTAATGCACGAAGGGTTATAGTAACGCCGCCTATCAAGCGTTCAGTCCGTAGGTAAACCTCGTATCGAATTCTGCATGAGCCAAGCAATCACTCGGCCCCTCTGAGGTTGATCTCTTGATATCAGACCTGTATCAAGGAGAAAAACACTTGTTTGCTCAAACTTCCATTTTCTCTCTTCGTGGAAGCTCGGCATTGTTGTTATTGTGATGTTATTCTTTTGAAAACGAGGTTGGACGTTTCGACGAGATCGTCTTCCTCAAAGGCCTAAACGTGGCTTAAGGTTTGAGATTGTCCTTTGAACCGCAAAACGCCTCTTCTCCCTAGCGTTTCTGACGGAACGTTGAGGAAGAAGAACAGCAAGGTGGTGGTGGTCGGCGGCTTCGGTTTTTTAAGCGCTCCGCAGAGAATAAACAAAACCTATTACAGTGATACTAGTTTGGCTCCGCTCGCTACGGCGGCCTTTCAAAGTAGGCTTTAGTAAACTGGGTATAGCCGGGCTTTTGTGCTAAGCAATGCATGCTTTTAATGCATTTGACTGATGTTATTAACGAAGGGTTACCACAGTGCTGATATAAAAGCTGTAATCTACATCTAATCTACATCTAATCTCATACATGCCCACAAAGATCCACCATTTTCCTAAAACAGTGAAATGATTTTTTTTTTCTAGTTGCGAGCGATTAAGCTTGGAATAACCAATACAATGAGGTGCTTTGACTGCTCTTACTTGGCGTAAACAACTACCATGCCTCGGATGCGCTGTGACGGGTTTAAGCGGTTGAACACATTCTTATGCCAGTGACATTGAAACAGAAACACCACCGATTATCGTATTTCCAAAAACGTTGAGCATTTTGAGAAACTCGGGCAAACTGGCAGCCGAAAGGATGCCGGCGTCGACATCGCGAATAGGATGGCGTTTCTCTCATCGCACGTCTAGATTACAAATTTAGTGACTTCCGAGCTGATCGCTCTTATCAGTCCTTATCAGCTGTTATCTCGCCTTGTCACCCAGCGGAATGTGTTCCCGTCCCGTTCCCCATATTATATCTAAAAGACAGCACATTATTAATGCTGGGCCGCGCGTTCATAAATTTTCGTGGTATTTGCATTCTGACCGCTCCTTATCACTCCCTATCAGCGGTTATCATTTTTTTCCCATTCAAATTCTCTTCACGTCACGCCTATCTCCTTTCTTGAAATCACTGCTGCGTCACTGATACGTGCGCTATGACTGTGGTGTCATTGTGTGGCTAAACACTCTCATCAGTCCCTATGAGCTGTTATCACTTTATGGTCCCCAACAAATATCTTTCCTAGTCCCTTCCCCATCATATCTTAAATCAACTTCTGACGGCAGCTGCGCTGCGGGCGAGCTATGAATTTGCCGTGTCAGAACACACGCGAGACGGCACCAACATGGAGATATCAGCCTATCCTACTACTATATAAGCGGCTAGCGTGTGTCTGTTGGTGTGTGTGTGTGTGTGTGTGTGTTTGACCGGAAATTCATAGCTCGAGTCACAGTAACGATAGCGCAGTGGTTCTTACATATGTTATAGGGGGTGGGATGGGGACACAAGTGGTACGTGATAGGAACTGATAACGACTGATAATAGCTGATAAGAGGGGCTAGAAAGCGAGCATCGCCAATTTCGTTTTGCCGTTCATATTGGTAAAAGAGCGTCTATACTTACAAGTCTTATGTGGGGCGGTCCCGGAACATTGGTGGTACATGATTGGAAGCGATAGCAACTGATAATGGCTGATAAGATGCGCTAGAACGCAAAAGTCGTCGATTCCGTTGCCTGGCTCGCGTTGACACCAGAGCAACCATACTTACAAGTGTTATGTGGGGTGGGACGGGGACATTGTTGGTGGGTGCCAGAAACTGATAACGATTGATAAGGGCCGATAAGGCGCGCCAGAACGCTGAAGTCGTCGATTCCGTTGCCTGGCTCGCCTTGACACCAGAGCAACCATACTTACAAGTGTTATGTGGGGTGGGACGGGGACATTGTTGGTGGGTGCCAGAAACTGATAACGATTGATAAGGGCCGATAAGGCGCGCCAGAACGCTGAAGTCGTCGATTCCGTTGCCTGGCTCGCGTTGACACCAGAGCAACCATACTTACAAGTGTTATGTGGGGTGGGACGGGGACATTGTTGGTGGGTGCCAGAAACTGATAACGATTGATAAGGGCCGATAAGGCGCGTCAGAACGCAAAAGTCGTTAGTTCCGTTACGCAGCGTTGACACTAGAGCGTTCCTACTTACAAATTGTAGTAAGTCGTAGTAGTACAAACAAAGGTACGTGCACATTATTTCGATATATATCCAGCTTACTTAATAGAATTCGACTGCATAAATTTTAAAAAACAAGTCTTCAGCAAATGATAAGTTTCATTTCTGACTATTAAGAAAACCCAAACTCATTAAACCGCTAATCCTTTCGTGGTTCTAAATAATGATGAATGTAAATGAATGATAAGCATTAGCTCCTCACTTATGTAAATAGGCATATTTCGTTTTGATTTTGAGACTGACAGCAATCCTATTCACCGCTAAATTATCTTAATTCAAGAAAAATGCTGGATGTTTACAGTTGTGAGATCAATATAGTTCAGCTCAGACGTTATCACGCGTATTCTCGATGAGCTTCAGTGAAACTGTGGAGGGTCTAACACAGTCAATAGTGAGATGGTTAATGGAGTATCTCATGCTGATATTCCATGGGTCCTCCAATTTCGCTAAAGCCTGCCGTGTGATGCGCGCGATAGCGGGCGAAGCAAAACTGGTATATTAATAGTGGAATCATGAAGTATGTGCACACCCTGATCATTTACAACCCTAAACATGATTCTTCTGTTTTTCAGTGGTATATGCCTGGCTGTGGCAGCAGGTGCTTTTTATGGGCTGACTTTCGTGCCGGTTATCTACATGATAGAAATCCAGATCAGTTCCCTAATCATCCGATGGACCCATTACCTTACGTTTTCTCTCATTACTTTGGAATATTCTTGACGGCCACAGCTATATTTACGGGATACGCCGTGATGAGGTCAGTTTTTACTGTTTATCATCTAACTCCGCGGATTAGTTCAAATCGTTCTAACCTGAAGGATCCGAATTTCAGACATTGTCGGTTCAAATATCGAAGCATTTTATGTTCTTTTACAATACGGTCCAGTTTTTCTTACGCTTGTCTTTTTTCTTTTCCAAATTCGACAATATTCTTCTTGATACCTGAAAAATAGAGTCAATAGAATAAAGCAAAATCCCTAACCAAGAAAATAAGCGGTGGGGGTCGGCACAGGAAAATATGGGTGGGTGCTTATTTTTGCAGAATAGGCCACTACGACTTTATCTAAAAACTGCTAAGGAAATTTATGATGAGTTCAAGCTCGATCATAGTGGTGGAGCGCGAAGTTGCAATTATATGCACTTGGCCATTTGGGGCCTTTTTGAATACAACCTGAGAGAAGAATTCATGAGAAATTCTCACATGGATGTATGATAAGGCGAAGAGCAGTGAGTTCCAGACAAAACCGTCCTGTGGTTCCACCATACATTGTACTGCCGTCGCTCATTGCTGGAGTACTATGGGCAATTGCAACGACGTCATTCTTCGTCGCAAACCTATACCTTCCAGCTATTTCGTTCCCGATTATCACAATGCTTCCTGGATGTGTTGTCTCGGCTTGGAGTATACTCTACTTCCACGAAATCAAGGTGAGCGAATTCGGTACAACTAAGAAGGGCCTTCTTGCACTTGATTAGGGTCTCATCCAGTAAGGGGGGCATCAAGTGGCTGCCCTCACCCCCCCCCCCCCCTAGACTGCCTACACTCCCCCTGGCGCACAGGTTTCTCGAAGTACGGGACCCCGTGAGCCAGGGGGAGTGAAGGCAGTCTAGGGGGTGGGGGTGAGGGCAGCCACTTGACGTTGCATCACAATGCCCCCCCCTTACCGGATGAGACCCTTGATTTGTTCACACTTTCTTCCGCGACTATACATGGCGAAATTGGTACAGATAGTTGAGAGTTATGTTAAATTACATATCTTCAGGGTAGCCGGAACCTTAAAATTCTTGCAGTCGCTATGGTGGTGACGCTGATTGGGGCGGTGATGGTTGGACTGTCGAAATTTGTTTATCTATGATAATCACCAAAAAATTCAATTTTTATCCTCCACGTTTTCATCAAACAAGTTGAACGATTCTTTTCAACAAGTAATGGCCCACTTAGATGCGCATTCAGACTCAGCGATTGTGCAATCGCGACAGCGACGCGATTGCACTTTCGCGCTATTCCAAGTCGAGTCTAACGCACACCTTATTACTGTGTTTGTCTCATATCCTCGTGTTAATAAATATCTTGTTTTTGATCGACCGTGTGTAAAGGAACATTTTAGAACAGTACGACGAGAATTTGCGAGTTCAAGGATTGACCTGCATGTGTTATATCGATCATATCTTTCCTTCAAAGTAACTTATGTGGCATGTGATCACTAATTGGCAGCCCATATGGACCTCCATCGCCCTCTAGCACCCGTCACCGGCATCACATTGGGCTGCCGCCGGCGTGAATGTGTTGCGGGCAGCAACGTTACATGACGAGATTTCTAGAGGCAACAACTCCAATTCCCCTGAATCAACATCAGATAAATTCATACTTCTCACCAAAGACAAAAGGTAGCGACCGCGACTTTTCAGCCTTTAAACGATCATAACTTCCTTCAAACTCATTCATTTGGGAAGCTGAACCCGGTATGACAAACTACAGGATTCAAGCTTTCTAAAAAGCACCCAAACGTTCCTGAAAAGTCAGTCAGCAGTTCAAAAATTAGTCCCGTTGTTACTTTTTTGGAGGGGCATTCTTCAAGCCATTTTCTTGAAAACGCGGGTTTTCTTAGGTTTCACTGGCCGTAACCTCCAGGGAAACAATTTCGTGTTGAACATAGGATGTGTTAGAAAGCTTCGAGCATGCGCTTGCACTACATCCCCTGCCTTGGTGCGCGCCACGCCTCGGCGCCTTCTGATTCGCTGATTCATTTGAAAGCTCATTTAGAAGGAAGCGGTTTATAGATGCTCTAGTATCAATCATCTTAAAGCGAAAGGTTACGATGTGATTGGTGTGGGTTCATGGCGGAATTGGGAATAGTGTATAATGCCCCAGTGCCGAAAAAAGCCAAGAAATCCGCTAAGAAGAGAGATGACCCCGAAGCGAGTTCGTATCAGAAACCGCACCAGAAATCGAACACGGTTGCGTCAATCTTGATTTCTTGCTGAGTCTAATCACAACCGCGAGTGATCAAGCAAAGCCATCAACGCAGCTCGGCGCGATGCAGTCACATCGGGTCAGATTGCCGAAATTCAAAAAAATATCGTAACCGCGAATTACTAACACCCTCCGATGAAAAGGTTGCATTCCTCCATTTCACAACCTTTGAAGCAGCTTGAGGTAGAGTTAGATAGAGCTGGATTTCGCGTTTCCAACAAGCATCGAAATTGCTCTGGAAGCCTTCCTTGCAGAAAGATAGGGTCTGTCAAATTTCGTCGAGTAAATGTCGAGGAGGCCGAAATTTTCACGCGAGTTTTTGCCACTTCAAGAGCAATATATCTCTTATATTGTAAGATCCTGAAAAAGGGAAGATAGTTTTGGAAAGCGGAAGGTTTGCGCTTCCTGATGGTCTGTTTAGTTTTCTTCTACAGCTTTTTGGTTGAAGAGATAATTGCGTCGAGGATCTATCGAGGTCGGATCCGGCCACCTGGAAATCCGCTCCCTCATTCACCATTGCAAGTGTGACTCGTTGGCAACACTCGGAATGTGTCTAGAACAATATCTTTGAACGCAAACAATAAGAATAGGAGCAATCGTCATCATCCGATTTGGTATTGGTATAAGCCATGCATCCCTCCTCCACTCACAGTTGCAGAATCGATTGAAAGGTGTTATATGATGGGGACCTTCGAACGAAACTGTATTGTAGTAGACATAGTGTGTTGTGCTATTCCTGTAACCTAAAAAACAACTTCATTTGCCCAGCGCTTTTTCTTCACGGTTGTCGTTTTTCCGACAGGGTCCCTAACAACAGCGTCATTCTCAGCGAGGTATTAAGGGAGAAGGAGCGAGTGATAGGCGGAGGAGGTGCCTTTGCAGCGCGTGCGCACATGTGGCACTCTTCTTTGCGGGGATGCACTTTCATTCTTTGTACTGCCTTCAAATACGCCTTCAAATAGTACGACCCCCCATGGACCAGCCCAACAGGTACGACCCCCCTGTCGAGGATTTCCTCGACCGATATTCACCCTGTCCGGACGACCACCCCCTCACATCGGGGTCTTGATACGACCCCTCTAACTTTGATTTGATTAATATTAATAAGCAAATTTAGATAGAGCTGGATTTGCTTCTACCGGGCAATATTGAATTGATCTAAAATCTTTGTACTCGAGGAGATAGGGTCTCTCAAATTTTGTCGATGCAGCGTCGAGGATCCCGAATTTTTCATATGCGAGTTTTTTGCCACTTAAAAGACAATATCTGTTGCGACAAGCACCATCGAGGGATTGTATTTGGTCGAGCTTGTAGGTGGATCGTACTCTCTCGGAGGCTGGCAGTGGGATCCTTGGTGGATATGGATTCCAGCCACGAAATCACATATGAAACCGTAGTGTAGATGGAGTGTTGCCTGAGACAACATGGGCAATAGCCAGCACATTAGGTTTACTCAAGCGCGAGAGATCACGATAAAGTGCGTATGCAGCGTGGAAGTACATGCACCATTGGAAGCAGTAGTCAGGGGCCCAAGGAAACGAAATGTTGCGTTTTGTGTGGTCAAAGGTGCGCTAGTTGCAGCGTACAAGGCTTGCCATTCCTTTCTGAGCCCCGCCACGGTCTGTGCTCCGCCCCGGCCTGTGCTCCGCCCCCAGCAGCAGCGCCCTTCGATTATCATTGATGAGATATTCCACTTCCAGAGTGTATCCTATAACTTTCCAATGGGATGCGTGATCAATCAGAAGCATGATGCTTGCTGAAATGATAGAGGCTATCAGCATAACATGTGCAAACGACCTCCTAATTGGTTGCTAGCTCGTCCATTATCGGAGGTCAACGGGCAAAGAACGAGGTCCCACTTTGCGACCTTCTA